CGACTAAATCCCCCAATCAAAAGACACAGCCAAAACCCAATGGCATGTTACATCCAGACCTGTTTCACATGCAGGGATACACAAAGACTCAAAACAAAGGGATGGAGAAAGATTTATCAACCAAATGGAGAGCAAAAATAAATAATAAATAAATAAAAAGCAGGAGTTGCAATGCTCGTATCGGATAAAGTAGATTTTAAAGCAACAAAGATATAGTGGTAAAAGGATCAATGCAACAACAAGAGCTAATGATCCTAACACCCAGACACATAAAGACTTAGACTCAATGAGACAGAAAATTAATAAGGATATCAAGGACTCGAACTCAGATCCGGAACAAGTAAACTTAATAAATATTTATAGAGCTCTCCACTTCAAATACACAAAATATACATTCTTGTCAATACCACATCACACCTACCCATAAGTTTAAATGAAACATTGATTGGCCATTATTAATACTTAATTTTTTTCAGAATAAAGCAATATTTCCATTTACTCTCCCTCTTTCTCTTCCTCTTTCTTCCTCTCCTTTACTTATTATTATTATTTTTTTTTTTTTGAGACGGAGTTTCGCTCTCGTTACCCAGGCTGGAGTGCAATGGCGCAATCTCAGCTCATCGCTACCTCTGCCTCCTGGGTTCAGGCAATTCTCCTGCCTCAGCCTCCCGAGTAGCTGGGATTACAGGTGCGCACCACCACGCCCAGCTAATTTTTTTTTGTATTTTTAGTAGAGACGGGGTTTCACCATGTTGACCAGGATGGTCTCAATCTCTTGACCTCGTGATCCACCCACCTCGGCCTCCCAAAGTGCTGGGATTACAGGCTTGAGCCACCGCGCCTGGCCTTACTTATTATTTTTTTCTTTCCTTCTCTCAAAAAAAAAGAAATCAACTTGTAAACCTCTAGATCCAGGTCGGCAATGTCTCTCTCATTGCTTGATCTCCTTCCTTCCCTTCCCTCCCTCCTTCCCTCCCTCCCTCTCCCCTTCTTCCCTTCCTTCCTTCCTTTATCCCTTCCTTCCTCCCTACCGTCCTCCTTCCCTCCCTTCCTGCCTTCCTTCCCCCCAAAAAAAGAAGTCTAGCCTTCCTCACAATCATTTTTAGGTTTTAGTTTAAAATGGGAGGCCTGTGACTCTTCCTTTCACTAGGACACTTAGAAACCATCACAGACTTATTAAATGGCCTACTTTCAATATTGTTGTATCTCAGGGAATAGGGAGGCCACAGAAGAGGGGAGAGATGGTGGAATGGCTGGTCAGTGGAGCAGCCAAAAACCATGGCACTGATTAAGTTTGTTGTCCTATACGGACATGGTCATGTTGCCCCCAAACAATTACGATAGTAAGATTACTGATCACAGATCACCAAAACAGATAGGATAACAACAAAAAAGTTTGAAACATTGCACGAATTACCAAAATGTGACACAGAGACACAAAGTGAGCACATGCTATTGGAAAAATGAAACCAAGAGACTCACTCAATGCAAGGTTCTACAAACTTCAGTTTATAGAAAAGTAATATCTAAGGGGTAATAAAGTAAAGCACAATAAAATAAGGTATACATGTATACACACAAACATATATGTATATATGCACATATGCTAAACAATGTATATACATATGTACGTATATATGCTAAAGTATGTATATAAAAAGACTACTGATGTTATTAATTTGGGTCAGTGCTATGGAATATATAGATACATATATATGTACATATAGATACACATTAAGATATGTATATATCTATATGTGCACATATATAGATATGTTGTATATATGTATATACACACATATGTGCGTAGGTATCTATATATATCAAACATATATATAGCTAAAGGATATATCTATGCACACATACATATATACAAATGTGTGTGTGTGTGTGTGTATAGATACATCCTTTAACACCGACCCAAATTAATAATATCAGTTCATCTTCAGTGACACTACCACTGAAAGGCACATTATATCAGATATATCAAAGTAGTGAAAGACTACTGATGTCATTTTATCTGGGCCAGTGTAAGGATTAAAAATGTACCTGTCAGATCAAGCAACTTCAGAGACTTACTGCTCAGAGACTTGGTTGATGTTATGTACAATTGCTCCACATTGCTCTACATTTATAAATGGTTTGAATTCTGAAAATATATATGTCAATATTTGGAATCTAGTATTAATATATCATTTTTTTCCTAAAATAAAGCCTTATATAATGCAAGGAATTCTTGTTTGAGCCTTAATAACAGCCTAGTGAATCAAAATTTAAGTGGACTTATTTATTATTTCATTTGTGAGTGAATCTTACCAATCTCACTATCTCCTTCTCTTATTTCTCTCCATACATTGATGACTCTCCCACAGAGTACTCTTTTTAATTCAGTAGGGTAATAGCCAAACAATTAAAAATGAACAGAGCAAAACTCCACATGTCTTCCTAGACATATTTTTCTAATACAAATTAGCAGTAATTACTCTACAATTTATAATCTAGTTACCCTAAAAAATTTACATGTTAATCAGTTATTTATTTGAAACCTGGTCTTTAATTTTTCTCTAGAAATGAGGTTTCAGATGTTTGTAGTGAAATTCTTAGGCCTGTAAAAAAACTTGTGAATCAACTTTATATACATTTCTTTACTCCTAACCCTAATCTCCAAGTTACCATTTCTGCCAAAATTTACATAAATTCAATTTCAGTTTGTAAATACCCACCTTGCTTACCCTTGTAATTTTCTGCCTTCTCACATGTAAATACCAATAACCCTTCACCAATCATGGATGTCTTTTCTACCCCTCAGATATGGTTAAGTAACTGCAGACCTAAGGCAGGGGCTCCGTCCAGTTGGATGGTGGGTTTGCCTTGGGGCAGTAGCTCATGTGGTAACAGAGGGAGAGACCAAAGTTCTGCTGACTTTATTCTTCTCTGTTTACAGCTCCTCAGCTCCCTGCCCACTGTTACCTCCTCCATGTTAAAAATAGGACTGTCTCATCTCTTGGCTCACTCCAATATTGTGTCATACCCACATTCTCATATTTTCCTAAGGTGTTTGGCTGCTGCTAAATAAGAGTGATCAATGGAATAGGAATAAGTATTGCTCTTATTACTTGTTCTTCTTTTATCCAACTAGATCCAAAAGAGATAGAAAGATAACTGCAGATACTACAGTAATTAGACTTTAGAAAACAGTATCTAAGACACTGTGTATTGTTATCAATGCTCCAGACAATGAACTTCCCAAATATGAATCTCTTTCTCGACATGTATGTTTTTTTGCGTGTGTCTATGTGTACATTTACATACGTATGTTCACATCTAGCTTTTAATTTATTTAGACCTCACATTTTGTTGAAGGTTGCTTCAGGAGTTACTGTTGTCTTTTCACTGAAGTCAGTGATAATGGAGTAAAAAGGTACTTAGACATATAAACACCACATGATTTTCTCTTTTTTTGACACTATTAGCAAAAACATTTTTTGCACAAAAGGAGTTTTTCCATAAAAATAAAATATCAAATATATACATATGTAATGAGTGAAAGTATGCAAATCCTGTAAGTCCAGTAAGTAAATTCCAACAATTAGCAAAGACTAATTTTTCAATGGCCAATTAATTAAACCACAATTAAATGACAGTATAAAAATTAAACCTATCTGCATATTAGAAATACATTTTAATTCATCCATGTCTCCACTGTACTATAAAATGAATAGAGAAAATTTTTATTTACTAGCTTAAAAAATAAATACTACATATTCAATTAGTATACTACTGCTTAATGAACAATTACAAAACTCTCACCTTGATGTTTCCTTGCAAAAGAAGTGGTAATACATTGTGCAAATAACCTCTTTAAAAATCAGTTATTAAACACACTCTTTTCATAGCTTCTATGACATCTGATCAATTTTGTAAATTTTCTTGAGCATTATACTATAATTAACTTGGATCAGGTTTTCCCTATTACTTAAATTATTAATGATTTAATTCCAGTAGAGGTTTGAACATGCCTTTGAAAACCATCCATCACATCCTTCCTTTCATCCATCATGCTACCCTTTCCTGTCCATGAGACACAGACAGGTAGCTGCAGGCCTAAGAGAGGGCTGCATCCAGTGACCTGGTGGGTTTGGGGTTGGGTCTGAACACCAACCTCACATGTTCACAGAGCTCTGGAGGGTGAGAGACAAGTTCCTATTTCATTAGCTCCATTCCTTTCTGCCCAGGGCTTCACTGCTTGTCAGCTGCTATCTCCCCCATGTTGCAACTAGGAACCTCTCCTCCCTTGAGACACTCTGGTAGGCAGTTGAACTCAGGAACTCTGAGTCCCTTAAAAAACTGCTTACAAAGAACTAGGGATGACAAATACACAAGCAGAAAGAAGCAACTCTTCTATGACTTGCTCCTCTTTATGTAACTCCCATCAAAAAAAAGGATGTACAAATGCAACAATGAAAAGATCTAGAAACTGTTAAAAAACACTCTGTATGGCCATGCAGGCTCCTGAGAGAAAATTCCACAAATGTCCATCTGTCTCCTTGTTTTATGATTCAGTTGTATGCATGGGTTTGTTTGTGTATGTGTGTTGGGAGAAGTGTGTATAGATGGATGGATGATGTGTATGTGTATGTGTTTGTGTATGTGTGTTGGGAGAAGTGTGTATAGATGGATGGATGATGTGAAGTGTGTATAGACAGATGGATGGATATGTTTGATGATGTGCCTGTGTGTGTGTATACTTCTGTGATATGTTTGATGATGTGTATGTGTATGTGTTTGTGTGTATACTTCTGTGTGTGTATACTTCTGTGATATGTTTGATGATGTGTATGTGTATGTGTTTGTGTATGTGTGTTGGGAGAAGTGTGTATAGATAGATGGATGGATATGTTCGATGATGTGTATGTGTTTCTGTATGTGTGTTGGGAGAAGTGTGTATAGATGGATGGATGATGTGAAGTGTGTACAGATAGATGGATGGATATGTTTGATGATGTGCCTGTGTGTGTGTATACTTCTGTGCCCCCTTATGCATACATGTGTCTTTATCTATTTATAACTCACCTTTCATAGATAAAGGTCTCCTGGGTTTCTTCTGTCAGTTCATTTGTGTGTGGACTAGACAATGATTAAAAAAAAATACAGTCAGACAGGTCACATCATTCAAAATTTACTTTTCTTGAAAAACTAGCTTTCTTTACACATAAACTGGTTAATTTCTGACTATTCATGTGTATAGCACTGTTTGGATCTGAAATATCTTTTCTGAATTAGAAATCAGGATTTATATGGCTACCACCATGTTAGGATGTGGAAAATAGTAATGCTTCCAAATTTAAGTAAATCTTTTTATTACAACCTCAGTCCCAATGTGTGAGAGCCTTTATGGTGGCAGTTATTTCAAACTCAACTCCCAATTTTAGGTAGTAGGCCCTCTTACTCCATTGAATGTCCTGTTTCAGAGGCCTTCCTTACCTCCTTACTTTCACCCACCATGATAGTCTCCCTAGCCCCACAGAAAAGACTCAACTCGAGGTCTGACACAGGGGCACAATCCAATATGACCATGATTTGAGGTTTGGAGCACCAGCCTCCACGGTGGCAGAGGTCTGGAGGGTGGAGAACACCTCCAGGCTATTAGCTTTGTTTCTCTCTGCTGAGGGCTTCACAGGTCCCTGACTACTTCTACCTCCTCCTTTCTCCACATAGGATTCTCTCTTCCTTTGGCCCTCCCTAGTATGTCTCATACACAGAAAATCTGAGTTTCCAAGGCATTTGACTGCTACAAACGAAGGGTGACAAGACAGTAACAGACAAAAGCCTCCCTCTATGGTCTGTTTCTCTCTTTCCCAAAACAACGAAAAATGTGGTACAGTGAGAAGATAAAGAAACTGTCCAAGACACACTGTATTGCCATGGACACTCCTGAGAGTAAATCCCACTAATCTCAACCTCTTTTTCTGTCATTGTTTTGTTTGTGTGTACATCCTTTGTAACTCACATATCATCAGTGATTTCATCAGTGTTGACTTCCAGCAGGTCATTCGAATTGAGACTAAAAGACAAATATGGTCAGAGTCAGACACGATGTATAATTCTAGTATTTTATATCAAATAACTATAGTTACTGTATGAGTGATTCCTTGGTTACACTTTAAATATTCACGTTTGTATATCACTAAATTGACTTGGAATGGCATTTTTTAATTAGAAATTAGGTTTTCTATGCCAACAGGGAATATCTTAGGCTGTGAATAGAGTGATACATCCAGATTAAGTAACTGTATCCTTACCTCAATGTTTAACAGGCTTTTGTGAGGGCAGTTAATTCCACTTCAACTTTACTGTTGAAGTCCATCCTCTTATAATCCCATCTGAATTCCTCATTCTCAGTCACCTCTAATCACCTCCTCACTTTTCACGCATCCTAGTTGTCTTTCCTGCCCAAGGGTTACGGTCAAGTAGCTGTGGCCTCAAACAAGGGCTCCATCCATCCCATGTGATGGTGGGTTTGGGCCAAGGGAGTCAGCCGCACATACTGGTGGAGCTCTGGAAGGTGTGAAATACTTCCAGGGTTATCAGCTCTGTATTATTTTTTTCTGGGGTTTCTCTGCTCTTTGTCCACTCCTATCTCCTTCTTGCTCCAAGCAGGATTCGCTTCTCCCTTGTCCACACTACTAGTACAGTCTCATTCCCACAGAAATGAAAGGTGACAAACACGAACATAAAAGCCTCCTTCTATGAGTTCTTCCCCATTTTCCTCCCTCCATCCAAAAACCAAGAGAATATTCAATACAAAGCTCATCCTGAGAAAACTTGAGAAATACTTTGGAAAGAACTCCTTGTTCCCATGGATGCTCGTGACAGTGACTAGCCCAAATCTCAATCTGTGTATACATGTATGTGTGTTTGTATGTGCATATATACATGTGTAATTGTATTCCTTTATATCACGTGTTGCATTGGCCAGCCTGCTAGAAGATACTCTCAATTCACACACAGGGCAATGCCAAAGGATTTACAGTGTACAGAGTAACACAACATGTAACTTCCTAGACCTAATGTTTTCAGTGAAAAAGAGTTCCCAATACTTTTTTTAAAAATTGTACTTTAAGTTCTGGGATACATGTGCAGATCTTGCAGGACTGTTGCATGGGTACATACATGCCATGGTGGTTTGCTATCTCCATCCCCCTGTCACCTACATCAGGCATTTCTCCAAATGTTATCCCTCCCCACCTTCCCACCCCCCGCTGTCCCTCCCCTAGTCCCCACCCCCCAATAAACCCCAGTGTGTGGCATTCCCCTCCCTGTGCCCATGTATTCTCACTGTTCACCACCTGCCTATAGGTGAGAATATGCAGTGTTTGGTTTTCTGTTCTTGGTTCAGTTTGCTGAGAATGATGGTTTCCAGATTCATCCATAACATGAACTGATCCTTTTTTATGGCTGCATAGTATTTCATGGTACATGTGTGCCACACTTTCTTTATCCAGTCTATCACTGATGGGCATTTGGGTTGGTTCCAGGTCATTGCTATTGTAAACAGTGCCACATTGAACACATGTGTCCATGTATCTTTATAGTAGAATGATTTAGAATCCTTTGGGTATATACTCAGTAATGGGATTGCTGGGTCAAATGGAATTTCTATTTCTAGATCCTTGAGGAATCACCACACTGTCTTCCACAATGATTGAACTAATTTATGCTCCCACCAACAGTGTAAAAGTGTTCCTATTTTGCCTCATCCTCTCCAGCATCTGCTGTTTCCAGATTTTTTAATGATCACCATTCTAACTAGCGTGAGATGGTATCTCAATGTGGTTCTGATTTGCATTTCTCTAATGACCAGTCCAGATGGTCATACACTGAGTCATACACTTTAGAATGCTGAATCTTCTAGTATATGAAAAATATACCTCAATTTTAAAAGAAGAAAAACATAATGCCAAGAAAGTTGTAAAAGTTGTCACCAACACTTGTTATTTCCCATCTTTTTAATATTTTGTATAAAGTGGTATCTTATTGTGGTTTTGATTTGCATTTTCCTAATGACTAATGATGCTGAACACCTCTTTGGGTGCTAACTGGCTATTTGCATATCTTCTTTGAAGAAATGCCAATTAAAGTTTTTGTCTCACTTTTAAATTGACTTGCCATTATTGTTCTGTGGTGCCAAGAGAACAATAAATACATTACTCCAGAAAGAGAAACAAATATATATGGAAATATATTTGTTAAAGATTGCATTACAAATCAACAAAAGAAGTAAATTCTTTAACAACTCATGTTCACAAAATTCCCTTTTCATGTGGAAGAAAGTAAAATTAGAATCTCACTTCATGTTTGTTTGCCTCATAAATGTCTTCTTTTGAAAAGTGTCTGTTCGATCTTTTGCCCACATTTGAATGGGTTTGTTTTTTTCTTGTAAATCTGCTTAGTTCTTTGTAGATTCTGGGTATTAGCCCTTTGTCAGATGGGCAGATTGCAAAAATTTTTTCCCATTCTCTTGGTGCTAGTTCACTCTGATGATTGTTTATTTTGCTGTACAGAAACTGTTAAGTTTAATTAGATCCCATTTGTCTATTTTGGCTTTTGTTGCCATTGCTTTTGGTGTTTTAGTCATGAAGTCCCTTGCCTATGCTTATGTCCTCAATGGTTTTGCCTAGGTTTTCTTCTAGGGTTTTTATGGTGTTAGGTCTTATGGCTAAACCTTTAATCCATCTGGAGTTAGTTTTAGTGTAAGGTGTAAGGAAGGAGTCCAGTTTTGGATTTCTGCACATGGCTAGCCAGTTTTCCCAACACCATTTGTTAAACAGAGAATCCTTTCCCCATTGCCTGTTTTTGTCAGGTTTGTCAAAGATCAGATGGTTGTAGATGTTTGGTGTTACTTCCAAGGCCTCTGTTCAGTTCTACTGGTCTATAACTCTGTTTTGGTACCAGTACCATGCTGTTTTGATTACTGTAGCCTTGTAGTATAGTTTAAGTCAGGGAGTGTGACACCTCCAGCTTTGTTCTTTTTGCTTAGGATTGTCTTGGCTATGTGGGCTCTCTTTTAGTTCCATGTGAAGTTTAAAGTGGTTTTTTCCAATTCTGTGAAGAAGATCAATGGTAGCTTGATGGAGATAGCATTGAATCTATAAATTACTTTGGACAGTATGGCTATTTTCATGATATTGATTCTTCTTAATCAGGAGCATGGAATGTTTTTCCATCTGTTTGTGTCCTCTATTTCCTTGCACAGTGGTTTGTAGTTCTCCTTGAAGAGGTCCTTCACATCCTTTGTCAGTTGTACTCCTAGGTATTTTATTCTCTTTGTAGTAATTGTGAATAGGAGTTTGCTCATGATTTGGCTGTTAGTCTGTTATTGGTGTATAGGAATGCTTGTGATTTCTGCACATTGATTTTGTATCCTGAGACTTTGCTGAAGTTGCTTATCAGCTTAAGCAGGTTTTGGGCTGAGACAATGGGGTCTTCTAAATATACAATCATGTCATCTGCAAATAGAGACAATTTGACTTCCTCTTTTCCTAATTGAATACCAGTTATTTCTTTTTCTTGCCCAATTGCTCTGGCTAGAACTTCCAATACTATATTGAATAGGAGTGGTGAGAGAAGGCATCCTTGTCTAGTGCCAGTTTTCAAAGGGAATGCTTCCAGTTTTTGCCCATTTAGTATGATATTGGCTGTGGGTTTGTTGTAAATGGCTTTTATTATTTTGAGATATATTCTGTTGATATCTAGTTTTTTGAGAATTTTTAGAATAAACAGTTGTTGAATTTTGTCAAAGGCCTTCTCTACATCTATTGAGATGATCATGTAGTTTTTGTCTTTGGTTCTGTTTATGTGCTAGATTACGTTTATAGATTTGTGTATGTTGAACCAGGCTTGCATCCCTGGGATGAAGCCTACTTGATCGTGATGGATCTTTTTGATGTGCTGTTGCATTCAGTTTGCCAGTATTTTGTTGAAGATTTTTGCATCAATGTTCATCACAGATATTGGCTTGAAGTTTTCTGTTTTAGTTGTGTCTCTGCTGGGTTTTGGTATCAGGATGATGTTGGTCTTATAAAATGAGTTAGGGAGGATTCCCTCTTTCTGTGTTGTTTGGAATAGTTTCAGAAGGAATGGTACCAGCTTCTCTTTGAATATGTAGAAGTCAGCTGTAAATCCGTCTGGATCTGGACTTTTTTTGGTTGGTAGCCTATGAATTGGTCTCCTGAACTTCAGACCTTGTTATTGGTCTATTCAGGGATTCAACTTCTTCCTGGTTTAATCTTGGGAGGGTGTAAGTGTCCAGGAATTTATCCATTTCTTCCAGGTTTACTGGTTTATGTGCATAGAGTTGTTTGTAGTAATCTCTGATGGTAATTTGTATTTCTGTGGAATCAGTGGTGATATCCCCTTAATCATTTATTGCATCTATTTGGTTCTTCTCTCTTTTATTTTTATTAGTCTGGCTAGCAGTCTATTTTGTTAATATTTTCAAAAAACCAGCTCCTGGATTTATTGATTTTCAATTTTCACAATAGGGTGTTGATTTTAGATCTTTCTTTGCTTCTAATGTTGGCATTTATTGCTATAAATTTCCCTCTGGACACTGCTTTAAATGTGTCCCAGAGACTCTGATATTTTGTGTCTTTGTTCTTATTGGTTTCGAAAAACATCTTTATTTCTGCCTTCATTTCATTGTTTATCTAGTTGTCATTCAGGAGCAAGTTGTTCCATTTCCATGTAGTTGTACAGTTTTGGGTGCATTTCTTAATCCTGAGTACTAATTTGATTGCACTGTGGTCTGAGAGACTGTTATGATTTCCATTCTTTTGCATTTGCTGAGGAGTGATTTACTTACAATTATGTGGTCAGTTTTAGAGTAGGTGCAATGTGGTGCTGAGAAGAAAGTATATTCTGTGGATTTGGGGTGGAGAGTTCTGTAAATGTCTATTAGGTCTGCTTGGTCCAGATCTGTGTTCAAATCCTGGATATCCTTGTTGATTTTTTTTCCCGGGCAACTTTCGTTTAAATCCATGTTGATTTTCTGTCTCATTGATCTAATATCGACAGTGGAGTGTTAAAGTCTCCCACTGTTACTGTGTGGGAGTCTATATCTGTTTGTAGATCATTAAGAACTTGCTTTATGTATCTGAGTGTGCCTGTATTTGGTACATACATATTTAGGATGGCTAGCTCTGCTTGTAACATTAATCCTTTTACCATTATGTAATGCCCTTGTCTCTTTTGATTTTTATTGGTTTAAAGTTCATTTTATCAGAAACTAGGATTACAGCCCCTGCTTTTTTTCTCTCTCTCTCCATTTGCTTGGTAAATCTTCCTCCATCCCTTTATTTTGAGTCTGTGTGTATCTTTGCACGGGAGATGGGTCTCCTGAATACAGCACACTGATGGATCTTGAATTTTTATTAAGTTTGTCAGTCTGTGTCTTTTGATTGGGGCATTTAGGCTGTTTACATTTAACGTTAATATTGTCCTGTGTGAATTTGATCCTGTCATTTTGTTACTGGCGGGTTATTTTGCCCATTAGTTGACACAGTTTCTTCATTGCATCATTCGTCTTTACCATTTGGTATGTTTTTGCAGTGGCCAATACTGGCCGTTCCTTCCATGTTTAGTGTTTCCTTCAGAAGCTCTTGTAAGGCAGCTTTGGTGGTGACAAAATCTCTCAGTAACTGCTTGTCCATAAAGGACTTTGTTTCTCCTTCACTTTTGAAGCTAAGTTTGGCAGGACATGAAATTCTGAGTCGAAAGTTCTTTTCTTTAAGGATGTTGAATATTGGCCCCCACTCTATTCTGGCTTGTAGGGTTTCTCCAGAGAGATCCACTGTGAGTCTGATGGGCTTCCCTTTGTGGGTGACCCGACCTTTCTCTCTGGCTGCCCTTAGCATTTTCTCCTTCATTTCAACCCTGGTGAATCTGACGATTATGTGCTTTGGGATTGCGCTTCTTGAGGATTATCTTTGTAGTGTTCTCTGTATTTCCTAGATTTGAATGTTGGCCTGCCTTGCTAGGTTGGGTAAGTTCTCCTGGATAATATCCCAAAGAGTGTTTCAAGCTTGGATTCATTCTCCCTGTCACATTCAGGTACACTGATCAAGCCTAGATTATGTCTTGCCACATATTTCTTGGAGGATTTGTTCATTTCTTTTCACTCTTTTTTCTGTAATCTTGCCTTCTCATTTTATTTCATTGAGCTGATCTTCAGTTTCTGATATCCTTTTTTCTGCTTGATCAGCTCAGCTATTGAAACTTGTACATGCTTCGCAAAGTTCTCATGCTGTGTTTTTCAGCTCCGTCAAGTTGTTTATGTTCTTCTCTAAGCTGATTATTCTAGTTAGCATTTCATCTAACCTTTTTTCAAGGATTTTAGTTTCTTTGCATTGGGTTAGAACATTTTCCTTTAGCTCAGAGAAGTTTGTTATTACCCACCTTCTTCTGTCAGTTTGTCAAACTCATTCTCCATCCTGTTTTGTTCCCTTGCTGGTGAGGAGTTGTGATCCCATGGAGAAGAACAGGCATTCTGGTCTTTGATGATCGCATCCTTTTTGTACTGGTTTCTTCCAATCTTCATGGATTTATCTATGTTTGATCTTTGAAGTTGGTGATTTCAGATGCGGTCTCTGAGTGGACGTCCTTTCTGTTGATGTTGAAGCTATTTCTTTTTGTTTTTTAGTTTTCCTTCTAACAGTTGGGTCCCACTGCTTGAGGTCCACTCTAGACCTTTCTTGCCTGGGAATCACCCATGAGGGTTGCAGAACAGCAAGTATTGCTGCCTGATCTTTCCTCTGCTAGCTTTATCCTGAAAGGGTACCTGCCAGGTGACAGCAAAGCCCTTCTGTATAAGGCATCTTTTTGGTTATACAGGGGTCAGGGAGCAGCTTGAGGAGGCAGTCTGTCCCTTGTCTACCTGCAGAGGTGCTGCTGGGCCATCACAGACTCAGTCCTGCTGCTGTGTAAGCTTCCTCTGGCTTTCATTTACACAGGTAGGTTTAGACCCACCTCAGCAATGGCAGATGCCCTTCCCCACACAGAGCTCAGTTGACCCAGATCAAGCTCGAACTGATATGCTAGCTGTGAAACTCTCAAGTGAGAGGGCTTCAGTTTGCTGGTCTTTGTGGGGGTGGGACCCACCCAGCTGTATCACCTGTCTCCCTGCTTTCAGCTGCCACTCTTTCTGGGAAGAGGGTAGCTCCATCCCACAGGTGCTCTCAGTGCTGGTTGAAACATTTGCCCAGATCTGTGCTGACAACCCATGGTGCCTGCCGGAGCTGCCACTCAGATCTGTGTAACTCATGGTGCTTTTGAGCCTGGCGGAGATCTCCTGGTCTGGGTCTGTGGGTTGCAGAGGACATGGGAAACATGCAGTATCTGAACCAGAGTGCTGGGGGTGGGGTGGGAAGTCCCCGATTATCTGGTCAGTTGCACTTCTTCGGTGAGGCAGCGCCCTACCCTGCCACGGTTTGCCCTCCTTGGGCTATACCCACTGGCCAACCAGTGCCATTGAAATGAACCTGGTACCTTGGTTGGAAATGTGGAAGTCATTCACCTTCTGCATCTCTCTCGCTGGGAGCTGCACTCTGCAGCTGTTCCTATTCAGCCATCTTGTTGGAATCCCCACTTTTGTTTTTTGGTTTTGTTTTCCTTTGTTGAGACAGAGTCTGGCTCTGTCACCAAGGCTGGTCTGCAGTGGTGCAATCAGGACACTGCAACCTCTGCCTCCTGGGTTCAAGCAATTCTACTGCCTCAGACTACCGAGTAGCTGGGACCACAAGTGTGCGCCACCATGCCCAGCTAATTTTTGTATTTTTAGCAGAGACAGGGTTTTACCATGTTGGCAAGGCTGGTCTTAAACTCCTGACCACGTGATGCACCAGCCTCAGCCTCCTAAACTGTTGGGACTACAGGCATCAGGCACCACAGCTGGCCATCCAATTACTTTTCCACCTGTAAACTGCTTTACCCTTACAAACTCCATGTGTGGATTTGGTTCTTGGGATTCTTGGGAAGCTGCCATGCCATTTTCCCTACACGTCCTACTTTACATGATTGCAGCAATCATTTCATACCTATCCAGGACTCAGTGCCTCAAGATTTAACCAAAATTCTCTACCACTAAAGCTGAACATTGCATGACAGACTTTTGTGGCCAAATGGCTTTTCAATCAACTCCACTGTCTAGGCAGTCATCCCTCTACTCCCATCTAATGGATCTACTTCCTGGATCTCCCCATCACATCCTTCCTTTCACTCATCATGCTAGTCTTTCCTGTCTGTGAGACACAGACAGGTCGCTGAGGGCCTAATGAAGGGCTGCATCCAGTGAGGTGGGGTGCTTGTGTTTGTGTTTTAGCACCAACCTCATATGTTCACAGAGCTCTGAGTGTGAGGGACAAGTCCATGTTCCACTAGCTGCGTTCTTTTCTGCCCAGAGCTTCGCTGCTCCTTGTCAGCTGCTGTCTCCTCCATGTTGCAAATAGGATTCTCTCCTCCCTTGTGCCAATCTGGTAGCCTCTCAAACTCAGGAAACCTGAGTCATTTAAGAAGCTGCTTACTAGGAACTAAGGGTGACAAATACACTAAGAGGCAGAACCAACACTCTTAGCACCTGCTCCTTTTTATACAACTCCATTTAAAAAGAGTGCAGTGTTACCTACTAAGCCTGCAATGAGAAGAATTGGAAACCTTGTTAAAAATCACTCTCTATGGCCATGTGGGCTTCCCACAATAAACTCCACAAATGTCCATCTGTTTCCTTGTATGTTTCCATTGTGTGCATGGGTTTGTTAGTGGACGTGTGCTGAGAGAAGTGTGTATGGATGGATGCAACGATGGATACATGGATATGTTTATGTGCCTGGCTGTGTGAATACTTCTGTGCACAGTTATGCATTCATGTGTTTATTTATCTAATCATAACTCACCTTTCACTGATGTTTGCCTGTTTGCTCCTGCCAAGTCATCTGCGTGTAGCCTAGAGGAGGATAAAAGAATACAGTCAGACAGGAGACACAATTCAAAATTTACTTTTCCGGGAAAACTAGCTTTCATTACTCTACACATAAATCAGTTAATTTCTGACTATTCATTTGTAAAACACTGTTTGGTTCTAAAATGTCTCTTTTTAAAATTAAAAATGAGGATTTATATGACGGCAACCAACATCTTAGGCTGGGAAAACAGTAATGCTTCCAGCTTTAAGTAAACCTCTTTATTATGACCTCAGTCCCAATGTGGGACAGCTTTTGCAATGGCAGTTATTTGAAACTCAACTTTTGTTTGGAGGTAGTCAGCCCTCTTATTTCACCGAATGCCCTGTTTCAAAGGCCCTTCATTACCTGCTGCTTTCCCCCAGCATGGGTGTCTCCCCAGCCCTATAAAAGGAGTCAAGTAACTGGAGGTCTGACACAGGGACACAATCAGTATGATGGTAATTTGAGGTTTGGAGCACCAGCCTCCATGGTGGCAGAATTCTGGAGGCTGAAGGACTCCAAGGCTGTTAGCTCTGTTCCTTTCTGCTGAGAGCGTCACAGGTCCCTGACGACTCCCTCTTCCTCCTTGCTCCAAATAGGATTCTCTCTTCCTTTGGCCCACCCTAGTATGTCTCATAAACAGAAAATCTGACTCTCCAAGGTATTTTGACTGCTATGAACTATGGGTGACAAGATAGTAACAGACTGAAGCCTCCCGCTATAGTCTGTTACTCTTTTTTCCTAAACAACTGTAAAAGTATGGACATTTACCTATATGTGATACAGTGAGATGATAAAGAAACTGTGTCAAAGACACTCTGTATTGCCATGGACACTCCTGAGAGTAAATCCCACTAATCTCAATCTCTTTCTCCATCCCTTTTTTGTCTGTGTGTGTTTATTGTTTTTTCTTTTTTGTTTCAGATGGTGTTTTGCTCTTTCTGCCCAGGCTGGAGTACAGTGGCGCTGTCTTGGCTGACTGCAAATTTCACCTCACCGGTTCAAGCAATTCTCCTGTCTCAGCCTCTTGAGTAGCTAGGATTGTTGCATTTTTAGTAGAAACGAGATTTCATCATGTTTGCCAGGCTGGTCTCAAACTCCTGACCTCAGGGTATCTGCCTCTGTCAGCCCCTCAAAAGTGCTCAGATTACAGGTATGAACCACTGCACCTGGCCATGTGTTCATCTTTTATAACACATGTTATTGGTGGTTCTGTCAATGATGAGTCCCTCCAGGGCATTCAGATGGGGACTAAAGGACAAATATTGTCGAGTCAGACATGATGTGTAATTCTAATGTTTTGCTTCAACTAGCTCCAGTTACTCTGAGTTATTTCCTGATTACATTTTAAATATTCACATGTAGGTATATCACTAAATTGACCTGGGATGGCATATTTTAAATTAGAAATGAGCTTTTATATACTAATAGTGAATATCATAGGCTGTGAACATAGCAATGCATCCAGATTAAGGAACTGTATCTTTATCTTAATGTATAACAGCATTTTTGTAGGGCTCTTAATTCCAGTTCAACTTTAGTTTGTAAGTCCCCCTTCTTATAATCCTATCTGAATTCCTCGTTCTCAATCACCTCCAGTCACCTTTTCTATTTTCCTCATCCTAGTTGTCTTTCCTGCCCCCAACAGTCAATAAACATTTTAATCTCAGAATCTACTTTTTGTTAACTAAATCACCCTGCTGACATTTCAAAAATATGTAAAAGTAGCTGTTAGACATTCTGTTACGTCCTCCTGGTGAAAATTGAAATGTATGGAGATTGCATCATTGCATCTTCCTATATCCCACTTTTAAACATTTTTTTTTTGCACTGAAAATAATAATTCTTCAAATGAATTTTTAGATATCATACATGCCTAGTAAACTTCAAGTCTGCAAGTGATGAATAGATAAACTGCACAGGAAACACTTTTTTTGTTGTTTTTCAGATGTAGTTTTGCTCTGTCTCCCAGGCTGGAGTACAGTGGCAGATCTCGACTCTCTGCAACCTCTGCCTCTCGGGTTCAAGCAATTCTTCTGCCTCAGCCTACTGAGTTAGCTGGGGACTACAGGTGTGAGCCACCATGCCTGGATAATTTTTGTATTTTTGTATTTTTTGAGATGGAGTTTCGCTGTTGTTACCCAGGCTGGAGTGCAATGGCGCGATCTCGGCTCACTGCAACCTCCGCCTCCTGGGTTCAGGCAATTCTCCTGCCTCAGCCTCCCAAGTAGCTGGGATTACAGGCACGCGCCACCATGCCCAGCTAATTTTTTGAATTTTTAGTAGAGATGGGTTTTCACCATGTTGACCAGGATGGTCTCGATCTCTTGACCTCGTGATCCACCCGCCTCGGCCTCCCAAAGTGCTGGGATTACAGGCATGAGTCACCGCACCCGGCCCAATTTTTGTATTTTTAGTAGAGACGGGTTTCACCATATTGGATAGGCTGGTCTCAAACTCCTGACTTCCTGATCTGCCCGTCTCAGCCTTTCAAAGTGTTGGGATTACAGGTATGAGCCACTGCACCCAGCCAGGAAACACTTTTGTCAAACATACTGGCATTTTATTTTGTAGCATCTTTGGGCCATATTAAGGGTCTTGTTAAGCTGGCATCTCATAAAGTGTATAGAATAAAACACTAATTTGGGTAGATGTTGAAAGGGAGTAGTAACAACATTAGCACTTGTTTTATTTAAATGTAGAAAATTAATTCAAAGTATAAAAAAATTGGTGAATATATTTGTAATCTTAAGATAGGAAAGAACTTTCTGAGTATAACAAACAGCGTTAGTCATAAAAGTATCAATTATATTTTAGCACATGAAGCTTATTATAAATCTCTATGTAAGGTTGCTATATTTCACTTTAAATACCAAATGCAAAAACATATTAGAGATTTGCCACATGGAGTGGTGATATGACCAATTTATTTGAACAACAAAATTCTTTGTATCTAAAAGATATGGCAAATATGACTTAGCTCACTGACGACCTAACTTTTTAGAAGGAATTTTAGAATGAGTGTCCAGAAAACTGTTTTCCCATGAATAATTCTGAGACTGAATTTCACAAACCTGAATCCCTCCCATCTCCAATATATATTATGACATCACCTTTCGTTGTTGGCTTCAGCACAGATTTCTGATTTCAATTCATTGGGATCAGGGAAAAGGATTAAAAGCTAAATAGGAAGAAACAACATAAATTCATAAACTCCTTTTTTTTTTGGTTCAAATTGGCTATGATGGCACTACAAATTACAATGTGTTGTCTAAAAAATTCTCATGTAAGGCTGTTATTTGCCACCTGGCACTTCATTTTTCTGTAGAAGTCTTTATGTGTTGGTAATAAAAATTGTTTAGAACTCTCAAAAAAGTCTTTATTACTGAACCTGATCATCATGTGTGACATCAAGTTGAATTTAAATTTGCTTAAAATTTGTGTTCTATTTGTAGGCGCACATTGTTCTTGCCCATTTTGATTTCCTAATTCTCAAGTCCCTCCACCACCTTCATGCTCTTCGTGAGTCACAGGTATCTTTGCTTCCTCTCAAATAGGATCAAGAGACTAAACCTGAGGCGAGAGCTCCATCCAATGTGATGATAGCTTTGGGTTTGGGGCACCAGCACTGAAGGGTGAGGGACAGATACAGGGTCTCTTACCACTTTCTTTCTGCTGAGGGCTTCGCTGCTGCTTGTCCAATGCTACCACCTTCTTTCTCCAGGTAGGATTCTCTCCTCTCTTGGATGGCTCTTGATAGAGTCTCATATGCAAGCATTCTGACAGTTTCCTGAGGGTTTTGGCTGCTAATTACTAAGGGTCACAAATAATCTTGGAGTGCCAAGTGTCCCTCTTCTGACCTGATCTTACTTTTTCCACTTAGGTTCAAATACAACATTACCTAAAGATGCTTATAGTCTTTTATGGAAAGCTGTTATGGCCATTGATGCTCCCAGTATTTTTCCCCACTTAGATCGGTGAACTCACCCATTGTGGTCATAGTTGTCAGAGCGTACAGTAGAAGCTGTTAATGAATCCATAATTCTACCAGAGAGTAAAAAACACATACAAAAAATAAAGTCAGATATCTTGGAAGGCAATCAGGTTGTTAATCTCCATGGTATTTCAGGACACAAAAAGTAAAATCAGAGAAATTTTGACAAAAACTAAAACAATTTCAGGGTACAGCACTAGTACTTCTGAGATGGGTATGGGTGTGTGTGTGTGTGTGTGTGTGTGTGTGTGTGTGTGTTTCTGTGTGTGAAAGAATACAGAAAAAAGAAAGAAAATGTTAGAAAAATGAATGTTCCTATATCAATGGCTAGTTCCTGGTCATCCTTGGAAGGAAAAGTAAACAAGTAGGTAAGTCAAGGATAGCCTAAATTATGTTTAAAAGACTTTGTGAACTGAAAGTAGATTATATATTCAGAACGATTTTGTTCTTTTTGTCTGGATTCATTTTTTTAACTTATATATAAGACTATATTTTACAAAATCAAGACTTCCTAGCACCCAAAGCACTGGCTTGACTAACTTATCTCTCTACAACTCCATTTCCTCATCTGCAAGTTAAGACACATGCAAAACACATTCCACATCTGTACACTTTGTAAACCATGCTGAATATTCAGCATTTTGCAAATACTGTTTTTTAAACAACTTGCCCTCTATACCATATATTATGCCATAAAAATCAGTATGTGGCAATATAAACTGATAGGTATTTTTAGTTTCAAATACATAAACATTCTCATCGAAGTAATATACTTCCAAGACTCAATAATTAATGCTCTTAACCACAGTTTGCTAACTTTTCAAATGTTTAAATAAGTTGAAGAAACTGATTGCACACATTTTTTTGCTGCTGATAAAAACTGGGATTCTCTAAGAGTGTGCCGAGGTTTCTGAACTTATTTGACCATAGAACCTCTTTCTCACAGAGGAAATGTGTGAGAAATACATTTTGGAAACAATATATTCAATGGTATCTTTTTATGTCTTTAAGTGAAAGTCCTCCTACACAAACTAATTTTGGACTCTGATCAATAGCTGAAACCTTTAAGAGTAGATAGACATTAATATTGTGCTATTCTTTCAGCCTGTGAGGAAAGGAGTGTTGGAGTTCAGATTATCAAATCTCCTTAGCCTGGTCTGAGGGCCATGAAAGGAGCCTTTCCAGTTCTAAGTGAGTGTTCTCATGTCCTGAATGGCTCATGGAAATTCATCTAGGTCTCAAGAAAAAGAATACCTTTTACAAAAAGAAAGCCATCTACAGGTATCCCTGATTTTCAGCAGGAAGAACAACTGGATTGTCTATGCAGAATACACTAGTAAGTCATAACGGGGGAAATGTTCAGAACACCAAAAAGGTAAGAATTTGATTTTCTGACATAAACAGCCTTATTGAATGATTACTGGATTTTTCAGATATCTTCTATTGACTGAGGAAGAGAACTGGAAGACACTCAAATTACTCTTCAGATCCAGATGACAAGCCAGGACCACTGAGCAAGTTCCTTGGGACACTAATCTCCAAAAAGGGCACAAGACAGTCATAGAGGTTACCTGAACTCCTTTCAGGGAGAGTATTGCATGAAGTCTAAAATAATACTTTGATAAGCTGCTTGGGGGTGCAGAATGACTTCCCCCATGGGACATGAATAAGTAGATAGCTAAATTGCCTTCTAAGGAAGGTGAGAATTGCAAACTCTCCTAAACTAACGTGGTCATGCAGAATTCTTAAATGCTTTTTGGTAGATAGTAGCAACCACAGAAGTTTGAGGTAGGTGAAGGGTTAGCCACACCTTTATAATCATGCTACCACGTTATAATGAAAAGTAGGTCTCCATATAACAAAACATTCAGTGGCAAGCAGGCACAGTTTGTAAGCTTCTGTAAGCTTTCTGAACTTTAGGTGCTCCAAGCATGAAAGATTCATTCTCAACAGATTCCTAATATTTCAGAGGCCAAAGTCTTCCTAAACCTTCCTGGAGATAGGACCATATGAGGATCAAGCCTTGGGTGTCATCTCTAAGTATACACTAAAGGCCACACTCATCTTCATTTATCCTGTTTATGCAAGGGTGGGCTGTCTCCAAAATACTTGCGCTATTCACAGATCTTAAAATGTCATATAATTGTAACATCCATCATGCTGCTTTGTAAGCCACCAATCTCTAATAAAAACCCATTGGTGACCTTCACTGTAATAATTAACAATGTTTCAGGTGTTAATTGAGATGGGACCACTGAAGCCCTTTTGGTGGCCATCTCTGTGGAGTTGCTTCCTGAGCTGAACACTAGCTCACCATCTTTGAACACAGCATCCACCATTAGGACAAGCCTCCCCTAGGGGAAAGATTAAAGCAACCAGTAGATGCATATTATCACGCTGCCTAAAATGTCCTATTTTTAAGAACATTAACAGGCATTGAGTGAGGCTTTTTATTTTAAATTCTTTTTCTATTTCTATTATTTTCCTATCTAATTCTTTTTCTGTTTCTATTTGCTGGGTCAAAGACAGCAGCAAATTCCATACCTTCCAGGTTACACCATTTCATCTGCAGTAGGAGTATAAATATCAAAGCTCTCAGTCTACCACCTCATGCTCCAGAGATGTGACCCTAGCACATCTTTGGACGTGAACTAGGGAAACCCAAGACAGAGCTGGATTTCTGGGAGTTTTTCCCCATAAGCCCTGGACCTGCTTACCTGTAGGCCAGACTGCTTCAGGGCCACTGCCGTTCAGAAGAGCCTGGGGTCAATTCAGCCACAAAAATGACACGTCTCAGGTTTCGTGTCTTCCATACAGTTTTCTCTAAGTGGGAGAAATTTATTCAAGATCCTGTTAGCAGTTTCATCTCCTGCTGCCTTTCAGTATTATGGCTTTTCCTTTTTTTATTTTTAATTTCCCAAAACTAAGCTTGTTAAATCAAATCTTTACCCCATTCCTGGCAAGTAACAAGGTTACTGCTATTTGGCCCTACACCCGTGGTCCTCCTGCACCATGAGGATAAGGAGACTCTGTAAGGTCCCTGGGAGGGGAAAGGAATGTTAGTGATCTCCACAGCTCTGGTATAAGCAAACTTTCCTGTCTGTGGGCCCAAGAGACCTCCATCTAGTTCCCCCACAAAAACTTTACATGATTTTAATCCTCCTGATGAGGATGAGAGGACAACATTAGCCAACAGAGAGGGCAGAGGATGGGATGGAACTCCCTTGCTCAGAGACCCTCACCTCTAGTTCTTTACCTTACCTCATATTGAGAACAAGTGAGTACTGGGATAAGAACTCTGTGTCCATCCATGGCAACCCCAAACAATCCTGGTGCTCTTGAGATTCTCGAAGAGTGGGGAATAGAATGAGCTTGGTCCAAGACTGCAGACTTAAAAACAGATGCTGTTCTGCCACAGATGCAGATACTCAATAAAGATGAGGGAGAAGGCATGGGGTGGGGAGAATGTGCCAAAACCAAAGACCCCAAAATAATAACCTCAGAGCAGAGACTGTCTCTCCAGTTATTTTTTTCTTTTGTATGTAATAGAGGGGATTCTTATTTACTCTGATGAAGTTTAACATCAAGTGTTCAGCTTCCTTTGTGGGTTAGAGAGAATAACTAGAGGGCTCAGTGTTTTCTAGACAATATTAAATTTTACTAAAATACGCAAGGTTGATAGGACTTGAGGGGAAACCTTCATTTATTCAAGCTATCATTTTATAAGATTGTGAGAAAAAGAAAACAAACAGTTGTACATTTAAAATACACTCATATTCTACCTAGAAGAGAGGATTTTGAATGTTCTTACAGCAAAGAAATGGTAACTGTTTAAGGCAATGGGTATGCTAATTACTATGATTTGATCATGATACAATGTATAAATGTACTGAAACATCACATTGTACCTCATAAATATGTATAATTTATTATGTGTTAAAATTTGATTACAAGAAAAAATAAACTTCAATTTTAAGAAAACAACCCAACTTTTTAAAAATGGGCTAAATATGTGAACATATACTTCACTAATAAAGATTTGCAACTGGCAAATAAGCAAATGAAAAGATGGTCATCATCACTAGCTATTGGAGAAATGCAGATTAAAACTACAGTAAGAAACCACTAGATACCTATTAGAATATCTAAAATTAGAAAGATGGTGTGTTGACACAGAGAGAGAGAAACTGAAACTCTCATACAATGCCAGGAATATAAAATGCTAGATCCACTTTGGAAAACAGTTTGGCAGTTTCTTAAGAAGTTACTTAGGCCTTCTAGTTCCCACTCTAACGTGTAGAGAACTTAGAAGTCATCACTTCCATCTTCACAACAGGAGAAAAGATAATCAATCTGAAAATCAACAATTTTTCTTTGATCTGTCAGAGAATAGAGGTCACAGGGCAAACCACTTCCTCGAAAACTAGGGAGATGGGTGACTACAGAAAATCACAAGCAGAAGCCACTTGTTGTTCACCAAGTGCTGGTAGGAACACTTAAGTGGTAATCAGTAAATTACTGGTGGCTGAGTGTGGACTAGCTTGAGAATTAAAAACTTCTGGGAGTCCTGTCTTGGGGACCCCTTATACTTTCATGAATTTTACTGCCAGGTTCTCATAACGAAGGCTGAAGAAAATTTCCTCAGGCTTTTTACACAAGGAAAAGGGAAAGGCAGCCATTTCAAAATATACCCTAGTTGGGGGATAGAGAGAGTGAGTGGGTATAGCAACCATTTTGAAATATACCCAGAGCATTCTATTCCCTGTGTGAAAGAACCGCCCTAAAGAAAAACGGCCTTTGGTGAAGCCCCATCTCTACTAAAAATACAAAAATTAGCTGGGCATGGTGGCATGTGCTTGTAGTCCCAGCTACCGAGAGGCTGAAGCAGGAAAATCGCTTGAACACAGGAGGCGGAGGTTGCAGTGAGCCAAGATAGCACGACTGCATTCCAGCCTGTCAACAGAGTGAGACTTCATCCCCTCACAAAAAAGAAAAACTGGCTTAACAGGGTCTTGTCTGACATGGGGAAAAAGCAGTAAGACAACTCTAAAGCCCTCTAGCTTTCCTGTTCCACATAAAAGGAGAGGAAAAAAATCATTACTAATTCAACATCATAAAAATTTACACCTATGTTTTTGTCTGAGGGTACAGTTTGGGATCTTACATTTAGATATTTCTTCCACTTGAGGTTAATTGTTCTGTAGGATGTGAGGAAGAGAGCTAACTTCATTCATTTATATGTGGATATCCAGTTGTCCCAGCATTTGCTGAAGAGACTATTCTTTTCCACTGAATGGTCTTGGTATTGTTGTGGAAAATCAATTAACCTTAAATGTATGGATTTACTTCTGGAGTCTCAATTCTGTTCCATTGATCTACATGTCTATCCTTATTCTAGTACTACAATTTTAACCACTATAGCTTTATAGTACATTTTGAAATAATGAAGTGTGGACTCTGCAACTTCATTGTTCTTCTTCAAGATTGTTTTGGTTATTCAGAGTCCCTTGCATTTTCAAATGAATTTTAGGATCAGCAAGTCAATTTCTGCAAAAAGAGAAGCTAAGATTTTGATAGGAATTGAGCTGAATATGTAGATCAATTTGTAGAGTACTGTCATCTTAACAGTAATGGCTTCCATTCAATGAATACAGAATGTATATCCATTTATTTAGGTCTTACTAATCACTTTCAATAATGTTTTGTATCTTACATTTCTTTTGTTTTATTCTTTTTTTTTTTTTGAGATGGAGTCTCACTTTGTAGCCCAGGCTGGAATACAGTGGTGCAATCTTGGCTCACTGCAACCTCTGCCTCCCAGGTCCCAATTCAAGCAATTCTCCTACCTCAGCCTCCCAAGTGGCTGGGATTACAGGCATGAGCCACCATGCCCAGCTAATTTTTGTATTTTTTTCAATAGAGAAAGGGTTTCACCATGTTGGCCAGTCTGGTCTTGAACTCCTGACCTTGTGGTCTGCCCACGTCAGCCTCCCAAAGTGCTGGTATTACAGGCGTGAGCCACCATGCTCGGCCCTTATTTTGTTTTTTAATGCTATTGTAAATAAAATTACTTTCTTAATTTCACTTTCAGGCTACTCATTGCTAGTGTTTCTAAATATAACTGATTTTTGCACATTGATCTTCTGTCTTCTGTGAACTCAGTTGTTACCTCCAGGAGGTTTGTTCTTATTGTTACAGATTCCTTAGATTTTCTATATACAAGATTATTTATCTGGAAAAAAATAGTTTCACGTTTTCCATTTTAATCTAAATGCTTTTTATTTCTTTTTGTTTTGTTTTGTTTTTGTCTAATTATCTTGGCTAGAACCTCCAGTACAATGTTGAATAGAAAAAGCAAGAGCAGGCATCCTTGTCTTGTTCATCTTCTTAGGAGAAAGCTTCAAGACTTTCACCATTAAGTTAAATATTAGCTCTTGGTTTTTCATAATTTTTACTAGATTATCTTAGGATTTGGGGGTTTTTTTGTTGTTATTTACTTAGTTTATTTACCATATTTTTGAGTTCTTTTTTTCTTGATCAGGCTAGCTTAGCTATCGATTTTGTTGAAAATTTTATTTATGTAAGAAGGTAGGCTGAATTTTGGTGAGAATAGTGAGCTTTGTAGTGTTCTTCTATGCTCATCATATCCTCCCAGCTTCATGGTAGCCTTAAAACCAACATCCTACAATCTTGGAGAAGAACAAGCTCCTGGGAGCCACAGAAAGGAACAAAAAGGGCTTGGGACTCATTCAAAGCCTTATTCCCAAAGAAATGTCATTATGTGATGTGATTAGGAGGTCCCAGGAAAACCCCACTCACAAGACCATCTTTATTTGGCCTGACTTGGTGCTCCCTTCACCTTTGTTAAGACAGAGGCTATTGCTCAGCATCATGACTACCTGAAGTATAGATAAGTTGAGATATACAATATGCTAAAAAAAAAGTGTAAACAAAACAAACAAAAAACAAATGCTGAGAGTACCAAATCCAGTTGCCATCAGAAGACATTTCTGTTCATGTCTTCTACCTATAATTTTTTTTTAAAGATGGACTCTCACTCTGAAGAGTGAGAATTGGGGTTATTAATAGGAAAATCAATATACTTTCTTTTTTTAAAAGCCAGGAATGAGATGTCAATAGGGGACTTTGAAAGGCTCTGACACATTCTTGGGGAATCTAGAATTTTTCTGGTTAACTGACTAATAGGATTTGAACCTGACAAAGCAGAAAACTGAATCTGGGATCTCCACATAAATCCAGGTATCAAAATGGGCTGTATATTTAGTAGAAAATACAAAGTTGGAAGGATATGACAAGTGAACCCATAAGCAAACCAGCCTCTGCAGGAGGTGGATTTTAGAACATTAATAATTTTAATAGTCTTCCCTAATGTTTCTAACCAGCTTTTCTCTTATGCTAAAATTTGATTACACTATTCTCATAGTCAAGAAACCTCAAACCAATAAATCAAACTAGAATGGTTTCTGATTGGTACTACTTTCAGAGCCAAGCAGAAACCAAGAAAATCCTCTCAATTCTGGTCTCTCAGGATACCCTAAGTGAAAGTTTAGACAAATGTGAGCTATTTCTAAAATTTAACAAAGAGTTGAAGAGTCAAACTCCTCCATAAACAGGAGTCAACAGACACCATAAAGAGAAGAAAAAGACATAGAAAAATACAAATATTAAAATTATAACAAATTTAATACTCAGAAAGTAGTTTTAAAAGTATGTTTAAAGTGAAAAGATAGAGATCGGAGGACTCAAGATGGCGCTGTGAGAACAACCCAGGATTGGAGCTCTCGTTGAATCCGCAAAGAGGTAAGTCTGAGCTGCATTTCCAGACTGATCTTTGTTGCCCACAGAACGGGGAAACTCCCAAGCATAAAAAAGACATGGGACGCCAGGCAGTAGGTCTGCCTGGTGAAGCCGGCAGCCGGGGCAGCGGCGGCCGGCCCTACCCAGCAATCCCCACAGGGCGCGCTTGTCCGAGTGCCCTGTTGAACTGGCAACCTGAGACTTGAGAGGGCTGGACTTGAGACTGAACGAGACTTGGACATTAGGCCAGCCCAGGGGATTGCAGGGACAGAGCGTTTGGGGGACCCAGTGGGAGGAACAAAACCGCGATTTCAAACTATCCCGAGCAGAGGGTCCGAGACGCTCTGTGGGGGAGGGGCGTCCACCACTACCGAGGCAACCCGCCCCAACTGAGATACACGCCCACTGCTGACGCAGCCAGCCGTTGCCGAGGCAACCCATCCGTACTGAGATACACGCCCACTGCTGACGCAGCCTGCCGTTGCCGAGGCAACATGCTACAACGAAGAGACTCCGCCGCAGGGCGTTGCGGAGATCACAGCAGAGCCTGCAGGAACAGGGCGGATCACACAACAGCAGGGCAGAGCCTCGGCAGCCAAACAGTGGCTAGTCTGCCTTCTAGCTGGGCAGGAAACCTCAACGGACATCGAAAAATAAAGCCCGAACCCCCCAACACAGAGCATTTGAGAAAAAAAGGGTTTTTTTAATGAGCTCTGTTGCAGCAGAATCAAACATAGCAGCCTAACAGCCCTGAATGAACAACAGAGCTCACAGCTCAGCACTTGAGCTCCAAAAAAGTACAGACTGTCTCCTCAAGCAGCTCCCTGACCCCTCTATATCCAAAAGACTGACATTTGGCAGGCATCATCCTGGGACAAAGATAGCAGAAAAAGAAACGGGTAGCATCCCTCGCTGTGCCACAGCTGCTAGAGGTGCACCCCAGAC